TGTCCACCTTATTCCCTCATTCCATGGTCTGCCCCATACATTGAGGCCTCTCTGCCACTGTAGCTGTAATCCTGATATCTCTTCCTCTCTTTCTCTGTAATGTCCTTCAGCGCTCTCTGTAGGGTTGGATTGGTGGCCACGTACTCCCACAGTTCCTCCTTGTCTTGAAAGTATCTTATTTCTTCATTAATTTTTAGAGAGAGTTTTGACGGATATATGAACTTAGGTTGCATATTTTTTTCCTTCAGGACTTGGAATATTTCTCCCCACTCCCTTCTTGACTTGAGAGTTTGTGTTGATAAGTCTGCTGTTATTTTGATAGATTTCCCGTTATAGGTAACCTGCATCTTTTCTCTGGCTGCTTTTAATATTCTGTTTTTTTGGTGGATTTCTGGGATCTCGATTATTATATGCCTAGGCGTAGATCTGTTTTGGTTGCAGGTAGCTGGCGTTCTGTATGCTTCTTTTATCTGGATATCATTTCTTTTTGCTATACGTGGGAAATTTTGCTTTAATATCTCTGTGAATATTTTTTGTATTTCATTTTTGGATGTTCCTGCTTCCTCACTCACATTCTTTATTCTTAGGTTATGCATCTTTTTATCATCTTCCAGTTTTAGAATTGCTTCTTTCTGGTTCCTTGTTATTTTTAAGAGGCTTTTTCTTTCACGTTCATAAGCCCTAAATCTCTCTTCAAGTTTCAGAAGGTTGTCTTTAGTTTCTGTCAAGGCATTTTGCCAATATTCAATGGAGTTTTTAGTTTCCTGATATTCTCTTTGGATCTGTTTCATGTATTCTAAGTTATGCTTAAATTCTTCTTCAGATGCTTCTCTTTCTTTTCTGATTTCCTCAGTTCTTCCATCTGTGTTCTCTTGGGCGGGGCTTGTCATTTCTTTAATTAATCTCTTTATATCTTGCCTCACTTGGATCAGGAGTACATCTTTAAATTCCTCTATGAGATCATGTAAATACTTTTTAATTTCGGCTGATGCTGTGTCGAGCAATGGATGGTTACTGTGTTTGTTCTCTTCAGTGTTTAGCTCTCTTGGGTTTAATTTCTCCTGTTGAACAGCTGGAGATTTTTTTTTATTTTTATCTCTTGTCATGTTTCTGGTTTCTTTCAGACTGTCCTGGAGTTCTCTGGCCCTCTCTGAATTGCTTAGGGCCTTTCAGAAGCGTGCTGGCTTGAGTTTTTGCTGTCCTCCCCAATTTGCTGTTATCTGGGGTAGGTTGGGATGCAGGGGTGGTACAGTCTAGTCTCTAGCCTCTGTGTCAGTTAGCTCATAAATTAGGCTGTACTTTCTGGTTGTCACTGAGTTGTGACCATTCTGCATCCGCCCATTGGGCCCCAAGCAAAGGCCTGGTCTAGCCCCAGTAGCTCCTGCCAGTTCTCCCTGAATCAGAAGCAGCTGGGTAATGGCACAGGATTCTGCCCAGGTCCCAGCCGTTCTCTTCCAAACCTCTCTGTGATAGGAGCTCTAGAAAAGCAGATCTGCCCAAAACCAAGATGGCTCCCACTAAGTTCTCCGTGCGGAGCTGAAGCCAGCAAGCAATCAGACTCTGCCAGGACTCAAGATGTCTTCCACCAGCCCTCCCTACAGGGGGACCTGGTGATGTTACCAAGCTGCGGTTTCTGCCACCAGGCTAATATGTCTGCACCAGATTCTGTGTTATTGATTTCCCCGTGGTGGCGGGCCAGCTGTTCTCTGGTCAAACCCAGCAGCCGCGGGGTTTTCTGTACTCACCAGAGTCCGGTGCAAGTCCCCACTCCGGGACCACCGCACACCAAGCCGTCCACTTTTCCCCACCTCGCGACTCAGCGCTGACCGGTCAGATTTCTGTGCACCGTTTAGATTCGAAACGCCAGAGCTCTGTACATCTGCTCTGGTGCAGCGGTGCAGAACTGGCTGCCACCTGGAGTCTCGATCTGGGTCTCAGTTTCCGCAGTCCCCAAAAGCAACTCAGCTTTTCGTGCTGGGTCCACGAGTCTGTTCGTTGATTTAAGGGCGCGGGATTTGCAGCCTCCGGTCTCAGCACGACTTTAAATCCTCCAGCTGTACTGTCTTGGTTAATAAGAATCGCTATCGATTTGTCTGGTCCTCTCCATGCTGTCTTTTTTTTTAGCTTTGAGTTTGAATTCTCTGGAGAGATTCTTCGCTCGATCCCCTAGCTCGCCGCCATTTTCAGACTCCGACCGTCTCAAAATATATTCTTAACATGTTTATGGCGATATAGTAGTTTAGTTATTCTATTGGTGACTAATATTTGGGAACACTGATGATGATAATGGAATTTCAGAAGTTGAACTTGTATCTTTTTTTATTTTTATTTTTTTTACATCTCCGTTATGGCTTGTGTTTTAATGTCCCCACAAAGCCTCACGTCATCATGCAAGCAGGCTTTTAGAGTTTGTGACACTCAGGTCATGGCACAGTGCTGGGATTAAGGGTGTGAGTGCTATACCCACTGTAGGGCAGGTACCTGAATACAACAAAAAGGACACAAGGGTCTGTCTGTCTTTCTATGTCTCTCTTTCTGCCTCTCTCTCCCTCTCCCCTTGCTGCTTTTGCTATCTTCTGCCCACCACGAACTGATCTCCTTGGCAAAGCCACTGCACCTCATAGCCAGCCAATTACAGACTGAAACCACTATAAACTGTGAGCTAAATAAGCCTTTCCTCCTTTAACTTTTGGTGTTAGTTATTTTGTCTCAGCAATGAGAAAAGTAACTACGACAATTCCACTACCAAGTAGTGACAAGAGAAGTAGTGAAAACAATTATGGCCAGGGCTGGGGATTTGGGTCAGTGCCTGCCTGGCAAACTTGAGGTCCTGAGTTTGATTTCCATACCCCACCCCTGCGCCAAAAAAATTATGGCAAAAGATTTGATGTGAAAAACTTATGAGCAAATGCTTGGCATCACTATGCCTACAGATAACTCAGATTTGGCCCTAAGAAGGAACGCACGGCTAAGTGCAGTGGGGATGCTGCCCCGTGCCGAGCTGGCTTCTTGGTTTTGCCCTGTTGAGTTTTAGCGGTTACTTGTGACTGCAGGAATGAAAGGGAGAAGACTGCCATGGTCGTGCTTTCACTGCTGAGACACAATGCCCAACACCTGCCACTTAAAGAAGGCGAGATTTACCTTCACTCCTGTTTCAAAAGTTTCAGTCCATGTCCTACAGGCTTAAACACAGAAATGGCGCAGTGGCAGGGCCTGTGCAAAGGAAAGATGCTCACATCATGGCTGTCAGGAAGCAGAGAGAGAACCCAAGGGCCAGGAGAGAGAGTCACCCCTAGCCACAGCCCCTGGACCCACCTGTACACCAGACCCAGCTCCACAGCAAGCCGCTGCATCACTCCCACGATTCAGCCTTTCCGAAGCCCTGTGACCACACGAGACCTTCAGGGGACAGCCTTTGTCTAACCCTAACTGGTCACTATAATCACGAGGCCATATATAATATAACATTATTCACTACTTTTGAAGCCAGGAGGCAAAGTCTAAGGACTTAGCCAGAATTCAGGGATCAAAGTCCACGTAAGATAAATACTGAGTTCTCTGCCCAAGTGCTAGCCAGGAAGGCTTGCGGTGTGAAGGAGGGGAAATAGAAGGGTTAAAGGGTGAAGACCCACCCTAGACTCCTCCCCATTGGGGCACAGGTACAGTGCAGTGAGCCTCTCCAGAGAACCCCAAGAAACATTCTTAAACAGACAGGACTAACAAAAGATAGCTCTTCTTGAAAATTACGTCCTTTGAATAAAATTCACGTGTGAATAGAAAACCACACAGAATATTCGTTGCATTAACAGCAACGACCCTGAAAGATGGGAACCATGAGTCGTTTTTCTTTCCTTTTTAAATTTGCTTATCTGTCTTCTCATATTTCTATTGTGAATATATATTCTTCTGTAATTATAAACTGAAACTTGTATGAAACCTGCATCATAAATGAAATCATCTGAACCCTGTTCTTGCCAGTCCAGCTCTCTGTGGACACCGCCACACCACCTCCCTCACCGTGGGAGGTGCGTGCAGCCTGGATCTTCCCACAGATGCACCTGCATCACTCCCTCAAGCTCTTTCCCTTCCTGCAGGGACCCAGAAGGGCGGGGTGGGAGCAGAGCCCTTTGTCTCTCTTTGGCAGGGTCTGGCAGTCACCCTGGACACTGAGCCTAAATGAGAGCCTTTCCAGCTGCTTCCCAGTCACCTAAACTGACTCACACGGGTGCCTGGTTGCTCCTGTTTTCTGAGATCCAGCCACTTAGAGGAATAGTAAAGCACATTTCTGGTGGGTCATGGAAGTGTGACTCTGAGGTCCGTGTCTGGTCCCCCCCTCTGTGATGCTCTTCCTCTCGTGGCTTTCTTGCCACCATGAACTAAGCATCTTCGCTCTGCCATACCCTTTCTTTTTTTTTCTTTTTTGTCTTTTTCCTTTTTATCAGTACCAGGGATCGAACTCATGACTGCCTGCTTGCAAGGCAGGCGCTTATGCCGCTGAGCTAAATCCCCAGCCCCTTGCCATACCCTTTCACTATGATGTTTCTGTCTTGCAGATGGAAAACCACTGAAGGAACCTTCGGAAACCATAAGCCAAATTAAACCTCTCCTCCTTTAAGCAGCAGGCATGGGGTGTTTTGTAACAGAAGCAAGAAAGCTGCCTAATGGCTACAGAAGTCACCACGAGCACCGTTCCCTTAGGGAGAGGGATGGCAGTCTTGTGTTTCTTCTTTGTTTCTGAGGTACACAACGCTGCATTTCAAATGGTGCATTCATTTTATTACCCCACAGCTCTCACTGTGTAACTGTGCCTGCCACATTTTACTTATTTCCTTAGGGGGCAACATTTTGCAATTGCAAACAGTGTATCAGAGAACATGTCACACATCTTCCTTTGCACAGGTATTTATGTTTCTCTAGAGATTTACCCTCTATTTCAAATTGACTGCAAGTTCTAAAAAATTGTTCTACCAAACATTATAATAAGAAAAAGACAAACTTGGTAAAATTAAAACATTTATTAATATGAAGCAGTGTGTGTTAAAACAAAAACAATCGATACAAATGGTCATTGCTGAAGGAAGTGCTCTACTACAGAATAGAATACAAGGTACAAAGGTCCTGGGTGTCTGCAGAGGCATCTTCCAAATATGAGAACTGGGGCCAGCCCAGACAGAAACCCTTTACAGAGTACCAGGAAAGGTGGCAGCTTGCACACAGAGAGAGCACTGCCATTGGGTCATGGATGACAGTGAAGGGTGATCCAGCCCCCCGCGAGGTCCGCGTGCAGCCCCGAGCCCTTGTCATCACACACCTTGCCAAGTGTGTCAGAGCCCATGAGGGGGGAGCCGGCACGCAGGTGTTCTCCCAACCACCTCATGCCACAGTCCTCAGCTGTAGAGGCTATGTATCTTGTCACCCAAGCCTCCCTCACTAAAGGCACTAGTTTGCACTGGGGCACAGCCCATATTATAGGATAGAACTTAGCTCTAGGTCTTCAACCTGTTAGTCTGCAAGGCAACGTCATAGTCAGCACCCTAATGTGCCATTTCAAGTCATGAATGGCAAGTCAATACTGTACATATTTAAAAGGTTTGCACAGCCCATTCCCAGGTCTAGGGCATTCCACTGGGAAGCAGTCCCTCTGAGAACCCATGCTTTTCCTACAGAACATGGCCAGTTTGAAATGGATTGTATCTCAGCATAACCAGCAGAGAGTCATATTTACACATGTATACACGCATCTCCATGTGATGGAGAAGTGTGAGTATTGGGAAACGATACCAGGGATGCTATATTACATGAAAATACTCAGCATTTTGGAGCAACGGTGATTTCCAGGCACTATATACTGTTACGTGGTTGTGGACCAATGCTTAGAACAGCCAAAAGTACTTCCAACCCAAAAGAAGAAAGGGTAGGCAGCCTCAACATGGACAAGGCCCAGGCTTTTGTCTTTGGAGGAGATTTTGGTCTATGTGAAGACTCCTGGGCCCGAGTCCCACCCGCTCTCCTTGCCAGTTGCTCTGAGTGGTGATGATACACATATTTGGTCTTCTGATTGGCTTCAGTAGCTAAGGCAACACAGAATGTTAAGACGGGGGCTTGCCTCCCCTCTCCCCCGTGTGCTTCTGAGACACCACCAGGGGCTCATTGGTGGGTGGATCCCTACATGTTGTTAAGACTGGATATTGTATGAAAAGTACAACCACGCTAGCACAGTCAAAGCTGCCACTCTCTCTGCTGGGGTGTGACCTGTCTCGGCTCAGAAATGTGAGCTCTTGGCTGAGAGAAACCCGGGTGCTCACAGAAAGATGCGCAAGGAAAGGCTGACTCGGGCCTGTGTGTCACCAGGAAGGAGGTTACTTCAGTGTTCAATTTTCTCCCCTTAGCAGGAGGTGTCACCATTTCTGGGCCTGACAAAGAAGCACGCCAGGCAAGAATGCTGGCAGAGTAGAAAAGAACTGCGATAAGCCCTGTGAAGGCCGAGACATCGAAATGCCACTCAGCAGCTGGTTTTGGGGTATCTGTCTGCGGGAGCCAAGAGACACCCTTGAAACCAAACTCTTTCTAGCCTTCATATTCTAAGCCTGTCAATCACCTCTGCAAAGTTGGGCAAAGCCATAAGAAACTCAAATTGACAACTCATCCTAGAGTTGAAAAACATAAATGTGTGATGGGAACCTGGTCCATTTTACTGATTATCATCAATGTAGAGGAAGTGAAAACCTGGTCCCAGGCCCTCCAGGCACCCCTTCCTTCCTGCAGATGCCATACCCCTGTCTTGCCAGTGAGACCTTGGTGGAACCAGCTCCTGCAATACCAGCTCATGCCAAATCACAGAGAGCTAGCTCAAGGCCCTGAACCACCTCCTTCCTGGCCTTCACGTGGCGGGGCTGTCCACCTAGGTTCACTGGCCCTGGAATGCTCACAGTGAAGAAGGTATCAGCTGGCATTTGTGGGCACACTGTGCCAGGACCCATGCTGCAGCCATGCGCTGGCCCAACCAAAGCCTAGACCCTGCTTAATCCCAAGCTCTTATGAAAGCCAGAGTGGGGATAGGATTTGCATTTTTGGTGGAAATAAGTGTTCTTTCTCTCCTTCTTCCCTTTCTCTCCTGGGTATTCAGACATCTTTAGCTGAGCAGTAGGAAATCTGAACAGGAAAGTCTGCCTCGGCATCCACCCTCACTTTCTTGGAAGGTCACACTGGTGGCCCTCTGCTTGGCCTGTCTCCAAGCCCAACTACACTGCAAATACTTTCCCCAATTTCATAGTTCTTGGGGGCCTTAGAGTTTTAAAGTGGTAACTCTTTCTCTGGCTGGCTTTGCTATAACCTATGGCTGGTTATTATAATTACTCAAGTTTAAACTCAAAGCATTCTCTGGCTAATTTTTCCCCGAGAAATGACACCATGGCATGTTCTTAGGAAATAATATTGAGCACCCCTAAAAGAGCAGGAGTCTATTACCAGCCAGGTGATGTGTGCATGGTGACCCTCTGAACGTTTGTATGCTCCAGCTAGCCCTGCCTACATAGTAAAGATTTAGCCAGCACTTTCAAACTGGGTCTCTGGATCCCAGAGTTGTATGTACAATTGTGGTATGATTAAATCCGTTTGTTTATATCTGACCAAAACTTAAAAAAGTGATCACCAATTGAGTTGAAAGGGAGGTGGCTGCCACATTTTCAGACATTTTTTCTCCTCTTCTGTAGCAGCTCAAACCTTAGCTTGAATGGTGGCCCAGTTATGCTTCTCTGGCTTCCCTCAGAACAGTAATAAATAAAGGCTTATCCCAAGCCAGCAGAAATCTAATCTTCTATATTAAATTCACCTTTTGGTGAAGGCCAGTCAGGTAAGGTAGGCACGACAGAGAAGTTCCTGGAAGCTGGCCAGGTGACCCAGGACTCGGAGGACAGTACTTAAGACTCGTGGACAAATCCAACAGTGTTCTAATGCTTCTAGCAGAAAACGCAACTGCACCTGTTACCCAGCAAGCACAACTGTGCTGGCGTCTGGTGCACCAAAGGGCCGCTGTAGCTGTGAGGCTTCCCCAGCTTTCTCACTCCCTTTCAGGGACATGTCCTGCTGGCTCCCTGCAGCCTCAGGAGCAAGGCCTGCACCTCCCTTCCAGAGCGCAGGCGTGGTTCCTGTGGCAGCAGCGCCCTGAGCGCCCGGTCCGGTCAGCAGCACCGATGGGCCTGTGAGGGTGGCTTCCCGCCGTGCATGCAGATCACTCCGTTGTTGCCCTTCTCATGGGGGTCCAAGGGCGGGATCTGGCGACCTGCAACAGAAAGAGGTGAGGTTGGGTCCTTCTTCTCATCAACACCACACCCAGCCACTCGATTGTGGGTTCTACGTATAGGAGGCAATGTGTGTGACTCCACCACGCAGAACAACTGTCATGACTTTGAGTATATTGGGGAGACTAATTTCCATGCACTGACATGCACAGAGCTGGCTGTGATATTTCCTTCTTTCTTCAATTAGCTCTAAGCATTGCAAATAAGGCCAGCCTGGGTACTGGTATGCAATCTCTAAAGCCATCAGACAGTCTCCTGTTTCCTCGAATAGTTCTCCCTGTAAAAAAGATGAGCATAGTGGGATGGCAGAGCCACTCAGCTCTGGGAATATCAGCTGGGTATAAGCCTCAAAGCAAGAGGCCACAGCTCCCCAGGGCACAAAAGTTTACATATCAGAAACTGAACCTAAACCATTCAAATGCCACCTTAATTGAATTACACAGATCGATCCTTCTCCATGACATTCTTCCTGCATTCTGCACAGATGCTTTTTTCCCTACCTGGCTAGCCAGCTCAGGTTACCATCCTCACTGTCACTCACCCTTTGCCACTCTCTTCTTCACAGGATAATAAATGCTGGGAGAGGCCTTGGGTCAGGGCTTTTGCCCACACATTCTCTCCTGGATGGGACTTAGGACACCTTGGCTGCCCATAACTTTGAAAATGTCTTGGTGTCTTTACTCTCCCTGTGGGTTGCATGTGAGGTGGTAGATTGGAATTAACTCACTGGAATTCCAATTACATTACAATGGGTTTTGGATTGTGAAGAAGACTAGAAAAGGGATTACAGTACTTGGATTACCACAGTCACTATTTGGGATTACAATACTGCAGAAGACAGAGGTGTTCCCTCCTTCCTCCCTCCTCCTCTCCCAGCTCTGCCATACAAAGTCAAATTCACATCTAGAAACCTAGGGGAATACCGGCTATTTCTGGACCACAGCGATGCCCTCCCTCTCTGCCCCTCACATCTCCCCTTTCCTGCCAGCTTCCCACCACCCACCCGGCCTTTACGACCTGACTTCAGCAGCAACCGCGAGGGCTCATCTGTTTACTCTGCTTCCCGAACAGAAGCAGCCTGGGCTCCGTGCTCTCCGTGGTCGGGCCATCCTTATCCCTCAGCTCACCACCCCTCCTGCCAACGCACAGGACGCACTGACTAGAAAGCCCTACGAAGGTACGCCGTGCAGGAAATAGGATTTTAGCGCCATTCTCAAATGATCTTATTTCTACTTAACTTAATTTAAAAATAAACACAAAGTAAACTTGGGAATGTGAGAGGAGGGGAGGGGAAGCAGTAGCTCAGAGGTGTGGGCTGCTTTTTGAGACCATGAAGATGCTTCCCACTGGGCTGTGCTGCTGGTTGCACATAACTGTGAATAAATCAAAGACCACCGACTTGTGCCCTTCAGGTGGGTATATTTCTTCTCAATGAGCTGCTTTTTTCTGCTTTGCACTGCAATCTGGCAATAACAACCTTACACAACCTCACAGTCTTCAAAGATCTTCCCAGAGGCTGCCCCCACCCCCAACCTGGTGAAGCTGGCGTAATGCCCCTTATTATCATCATTCTACCATGGCTAGGAGAATGTGGGTTATCTGCCAACAGTCCTGCCAATAATAACAGGGACACACGGGCCCTGATTACGACCCACATCTTGACATTCTGATGGATCGCAAAGCTGTGTTCTCCACGTGGTCATATTGGCACTGTCTTCAATTTTTCAGTCACCCTGGAGATGGCATGAAACATGAGCTCTAAAACAGGCACTTGAAGGACTGGGTAGGCAGTACATTCGTCTACTAAGTAACCAGGACATGGAAATGGAGAGGAAATTGGTTCCAAAATCAGAGTCTTCTAACACAAAAAGATGTCACTTAAGGACCATCTCATGATCCAAAAGATCCTGAAAGGGGCAGGCAGAGGTGTCTCTGTGCAGGACACGCCAAGAGCTGAGCTCAGAGGCACTCATGCACTGCGTAGCCTGGATGGAATGGATGTGCATCAAAGCCCAAGCATGATGGCTAAGGCCACTGACATTTAAGATTGTCATCTGATTACTCATGGAGCAGGCGAGAGCTGTGCAGCAGTTTCTGCAGCTGTCACATCTGCCGCCTGCTAACAGCCAAGGTGGCTCCATCCAACTTTGCGCGCCATTCTGGAAACAGTTCTGTGTTCATTCAGGAACAAAATGTGCAGTTAGATGCCTCCCATCTTCTGGACCTGCTGGGTTTTATCAGTCACAATTTAAAGGACGCAAAAGAAACACCTCTTCCTTTTTGTCAGCCTCAAGTGACAGGGAGGGAAGAAGACTCCCAACGACTGCCAGACCTCTTTGAAAGTTTATTCAAGTGACATCTTCAGCCAGTGGGGTGCTACCTCCTCCCTGAGAGAAAGCCGCGCATTTTTAGAGGATCCTAGTGTGATGCTGGGTCCTTATGTCAATTACTACTACATTAGATGGCTTCCCAGTGGACTCCGGCTACAGCTGAAGCTCCAGCTTTTGCAGCTAAAAGACTGGTGGACGCAGTTACAGCTCTGATTGGCAAGAGCTGTTGCCCTTGCTGGCCTAAAAGACGAGGCCTGTTTGCTGATCAGCAGAAAGAGCTGAAATTTTAGCTTTTGTGACAATCGCAAAATCAATATCCCACACCAGATCCACCTTGTGCTGGTCCCACATGAATTCTAAACAGCTCTGGCCTTTCAGCTTCCTACACATGGCATACTTCCATGTCTCACGTCTTTTCATATTTTTTCCTATTAAAAATACCTCAAAATACAGAAGAAAATATATGTAAGACGTTTGAGCACGAATACACAGGGATGTGGGGGACCTGCCCTTCCTGCTTTTCCCCCTTCCTTCCTTTTCTTGGCCTCTTATTTCTGATGGACAGAGTTCCGAGGCGGAGACTCAGGGGTCGGGTGCAGCGGACTGGAGCAGCTGCTTCTCCTCACCCAGAAGGAGCACAGGAGAGAGCTGACTGTCTGAGAGAAGTAGGCAGGTGGGAACACTGGTCACAGGGGCACGCCCCGCAGCAGCCCTCTGGCCGCCATGACGACCAAGTGGAGTTCCTGGAGGACTGCTCCGGCAGGAAACCCATCTGGAGATGAGAAAGAGACGCCATGCCATAGCGGACCCTAGGGGCTGGGGCAGGCGGAAAGTAGAGACAGAGAGAAACTGCACACGGCCCCAGGGGCATGCGACGGGCACTGGAAATGAGACAGCCAGACCAGGGAGATAAGACAGGAGATTAGAGCGTGATAGGCTGGCTGAAAAGGGAGTGTGACCTGTTAACTTCAGAGTTCCAGAACTGGCACTCGGGAGACTGAGGCAGGAGGGTCACAGCAAGTGCAAGGCTGGCCTGAACTACACAGGAACACCCCGCCTGTGACACAACAACCAAAACAGTATAAAGAGACACGTGACTAATCACAGTATCTGCAACTTATCTGCACTGCAATTCAAACAAACTTCAAAATTCAACCAAACCATTTATGACAATGATAAGCTGTTTGGACATTTGGTCACTGACTGGATATTTGGAAATATTAAATAATTCATACATAATAGCATCATTGATGTGACAATACAATTGTCACTATGGAAAACAAGTTACAGATCAAGAGCATTACAGGTGAAATGAAGTGATGTGTGAATGCCATCAAAATAATGCAGGCTGGAAAACTTTGGGGTAGAGAAGAAGTTAGCTTGGTCTTGAAGTACCATGCACTGTGTACAATACACTCCACTTGACATTTTCCAAAATAAGGTTCTTTGTTCAGAGTTCCCTGGAGGGCTGGGGATTTAGCTCAGCGGCATAAGTGCCTGCCTGGCAAGCGTGAGGTCATAAGTTCGATCTTTGGTAACAAAAACCAAAAAAAGAAAAGAATGAAAAACAGAGTTCCTTGGAACCTCAATATTCTGAAATGGCCACTATTAACATCTTAATGTGTAGGACAGCGTCTTTGAGGAATACGTTAATGACTGTCTACATTACATGGCTTACAGTATATGAAATCAGGATATTATGTAAACAACTGTAACTTTCGCTTCACATGTAAATGATTGTCTTTTTTAGGTCACTAAGCAGAGACTTACATCAGCCCATCTTATCATTTGTTTACATTGGTATACCCTGATTTCTCAAAAGCCCTCTCCCAACTTCTGGGAGGTGCAGTCACCTCTTGATTTCCACTGTGTGAAGGCTTCCCTGAGGGCTGAGCACAGTGACTCATGACAGGGACAGAAAGCAGGGGTGAGGGGGAGAGGATGGGTGTCAAAGCCTGGTGCCACCTTCCTGGGCCACCTCTCCCTTACCCCACATGCAACCCAAGCAAGGGACAAGCCTGCCGAGCCTCGGTTAACCCGCGAGAGCAGTCATGACAGCAGGGCCTGCTTCCCAGGAGAAACGGCCACTCATGAGCTAACCACAGACCAGGGATGCAGTAGGGTCCTGACAGGGCATCTGCACGTGGCCTGTCCTGACTTCCTGTCATTATCCCTGAGCCAGGCATGACATCGACCACTCAGACCCTGTTTGCCTTGATGTCATGAGAGATAATCAAGAGATGGTCCCTAAAGGCTAAGAGATGTGCGTGGGTCCTCTGGGCCAGGGCACCATTCTATGTAAGGACCTTGAGGACCTCTGATTTTGTTGCCCTGGAACTCGTGTCCCTGGATATAAAAGGACAGACAACTGGACCATTGTCTTTTAAGAACTGCTGAGATACGCCAGGCATGATGGCGCATGAAATCCCAGCAGGCCAGAGGCTGAGGCAGGAGGACAGTTATGCGTTCAAGGCCAGCCCTGTCTCAAAAACCAAAAACCAAACCAAACCAAATAAGACAAAACAGAATTGCTTCGATAAAAAGGCCAGGCCTGCTTGGAGCTCTGGCATCCTGCTCATTTCCTGCCATGACTCATCTCACAGATGCTCTTGGGTGGCAAGGAAGTGAATGGTCTCTTTTCTCTCCCTGTCCCTCACCTGCTGAACTGATCCTCATTTGACAGCTGGACCTTTGGAAAAATTTGCCAAGGGTTTGTCTGGCTTCTTAGTTTCCTTAATATGCCCCAAACCTAAGTAACTGCCTAGGGCATTATAAAACTCCAGTGGGCTTAAAATAGCCAACAAATCACTACATAAGAAGATAATGCATGGCCCCTGAGTCCTGGTTTATTTTTTGTAAGAACAACCCACCCAAATTTTTCCAAGTTAATACGCTTGGGACTCTAATTATATTAACTCTTTGCAAACAACATCCCCTCCCCATTCTCAAACCAGCAAGAAACAAACCAAAAACCAAATTTAATGCCCTCCAGTGCCTCCAGGCTCTCTCTCTGTAAGAGAGGGCCTTGCCCTCCTCCTCTCTGCAGTCAGTGCAGAGGCCCAGGGCATGGTGGGTCCTTCCCAGTCCAGGCTTGTCCTGCTGGGCCTGCTGCTCTATCTATCTCTCTTTTCCTCAGGAAGACTTCAAAACAAAACAAAACAAACCCAAGTTAGACAGATGTAACAAACCAAAACTTGTCACTAGGCCAGTCCTCCTCACAGGAAACAGCCCCAGGCCGAGTCTGGGTACTACCCTCCTTAGGAGGCCACGGAACTCCCACCCTAAGCTGCTCCCTGTGCTTGGGAACATTCCAGTTTCTTGCAAAGATTTCTGAAACCTACCCTGCCCCAGCCACATACAACCCACAGAGCCTGCTGCTGCCTGCCCCTCCTAGGAGATCCTGTGGGGGAATGTAAATCCTTCTGCTCGCTACTGAGCAAAATATCACCCCTTCTTCCCATGTGCAGCTCTGCAAGGGCCTGGCTGGGCTTCCAGTCTCCTTTTCTCCATCCCCTTCCCCTCCCCCCACCATTTCCAGCCTCAAGGACTTCACTCCTGGGGTTCACTCTACCTGGAAGCTCTTCTTGAGCTCTTTGCCAAACTAGCCTTCTTGCGCTTTTTAACTCCAGCTTAAGAATTTCCTTGGGAAGCCACCTGCAACCCAAAGAGCCACTTGTCAGCATCTTTCCCAGTCTGGGTCTGCCTAGCATCACCTGTGACAACGGGTGACTGCGTACTTATTTGGCTCCGCCCCCCACTGCTGCCCTACTCCACGTGTGTCTGGAAGGTATTCGTGCGATACATAGAGCAACAGGAGCCAGCTTTGTCCAACCGGCGGGTGTCACTCAACCTTACGTCTGCACAGAGAGCCTTACATGTCACTTGATCCCCAGCCCCTGCACTGCTACCCTGAAACAGGACAAAGGTGCAGAACCCAGTCAAAGGAGGGGCTTGGCCCCTCACCAGCTCTCAGTCTCAGCTTTAGGGAGACCCCCAAAGACAGACACCTGATCACCAGAAGTCACTTTCCTAGAAGAGCATCTGTGACCTGAAACACCTGGTCCTGACCCCCCTGGTGCTGACCCCACTCCTACTTTTCACCCTCCTAGTGCTGACCCCACTCCTAGTGCTTATCTCCTCCTGGTGTTGATCCCCTCCCCTGGTGCTGTCCTCCCCTGAGAGAAGTCTTTGTTTCAAAAGAAACTTACTAGAAAAAAAAGAAACTTATTAGTCAGGTATGGTGACACACAATACCCTAGCACCACTCCAGAAGGCGAGGCAGGACTGTTGCAAGTCCAGCCTGGGAAATTCAGCAAGACCTTGCCTTGAAAAACTGTGTGGAGAGGGCACGCGCGCGCGGTGGGGGGGTATTTGGGGATGTGACTCAGTGCAAAGGCGCTGCTTCAGTCCTAACACTGCCCCCCAAAGATATAACAACGCTGTCCAGTCAGAAAATGGAAATAAATAAATACATGAAAGAAGGAAAAAGAAAGTGCAGCAGTACCAGCTCTGTGCAGAAAGCACAGTCGCCTCATTTCTAGGTAGGGCGCTCGGGAATATAACAAGAAGCATTTGTGTCTTCACCCAAATCACTGTGAATTAATCTAGGAACCCCTTTCCAAAGGGCTGGCAGCTTACTACTTGCTCTGCGTGTCTCACTGCGTCCTTCCTCCTGGACAAGGCCCTGTATGGAACACTGCTCTGGGGACTGCAAGTGTCAGCAACATCCAGATCTATTTTAAGACAGGGAGGAGCGCATGTAATCCAAGTAGGAACAGGCACGAGAGAACAAATGAACAGTCTGTTGCGGTATACTCAGGAGCATTGGGAACCGTGTTTGAATTCACCTGGAAGTAGGCTGCCAATCCCCCAAGGTGTAGAGGCAAAGAGATGGCACCAGCACTCACAAGTATGGACAGGTAGGTGAGGACTGGGGAGAGGTGGAGATGGGAGGACCCAGGAGACGGATGGGTAGCCAGGGAGAGACAGATGGACACACAGAGAGATGGACACATAGATAGACACAACCAGAGGTGGGTGGGTACCCAGAGAGATAGCTGGATACAGACAGATGGGCGTATAGAGAGACGGATGGGTTTAGCTAGAGACAGAGGAAGAGCTTGATACCCAGAAAGATAGATGGATACACAGACAGACACAGACAGATGAATACATACACATAGATGGCTACTCAGAGTCTTAGATGAGTGTACAGAGGACTGGATACCCCGAGAGACAGCCACGGTGAGACGGAGACCTACATTTTGCCATGGCTCTGACTCTACAAGCTCTCTTTGTTAAAGCAATTGTAAGTACAGTCTAATAACAGAAAAAACTGAGAATTTGCCATGGAAGATGAGGTGATACAGATATTCCACGACTTAATAGGAATTAATTACTTTGCAACCACGATTATTCTATACTTTAAACCAAACACTTGGATTTTTCCTAAATGAAGCAGACCATCAGGGTCGGAGCAGTTAATTACTGCAAATCCCCATTGCCATGGCCAGAAAGACATCCTACACAGGAAGGATTTACACCAGCTGAACTGTGCAAAGAAATATTTCAAGATATTAACAAGTTTGAGCCTGTTGATCTCTCTATGTCCCTTTTTAAAAATGTTAATAATGACTTCCAACAGTCTCAGAAAGTCTCTGAGCTCGCGTGATATCTCAAGGTGAATTTAGGACATGTGAAGCTCTGAGCTTCCTTGGCTCTGCAGAATAACAGAAGCTGTGAAACAAGAAGTGTTTGCCTGACACACACAGGCTGTTCATTAAAATGCCCTCCAAAAACAGAACGCTTAGCCGTGAAACAGATCAGAAGAGCCCAGCGCTGCCAGAAAACAATCACTGCGCTCTGGGGAGACACAGGCTCCTGCAGTGTGCTCCTAGGCACCTTGTGATGTCCTCCAGAGACACAGGACAGAGAGCCCCTCATCTCCCTGCCCCCAGAGGGCTTGGGACAGTGACAGGGCACTGCAGCCTGAGAAACTGGAAGCCAACACGTCAAGCAGTGGGCTAGAGGATGCACTGCCAATGGCAGGAAATGACAGCAGGAAAACATCCATCCGGAATGGCAGAGGGGTGGGGAGGCGGTGAGGACCCCCGGGGAGTTCCGGGCAGGGTTTAGGGGAGGCTCAGCAGCACGGTTTCACACATTTCTTTGGCACATTTATGCACAGTGGAAGTAAGACAGGTCAGAATTCCCCCTCAGTGAATCCCCCGTCAACATGAACATGCAGAAGATTCCCCTCTGTGGGTTCTCAGAGTCTAAGCGAATGGACCCAAAACTGGAACAGAAATGAATTCTGTTCCAGGTGAGGAAGTCTGCTCTGCCTGGGGAGCTCAGCCCATGATGACCCTAGGTGGAGCACAGCAAGCGCCAGGGTCCTCTCTGGAACTGTCCAGCACCAAGTTGTCTGAGGACAGCTGCTAATTGTTCAGGGGTTCCATGTTTCCTGTGTCGGGTCCCCAGGATTCCACCCAACAGCCACAATCCTGACCTCCTGCACACACTCGGATCCCACTTGCCAAGGACAAGACTCAGAGCTCCGGTGCCCTCCAGATCATCAGCAAGGACCTCTCTGGGAGAAAGTCACACCCCAGGGAGCTCGTGAAGGTAGATCTGGAGATTCTGGATGCTCACAACTGCACACGGGTGTGTCGGGGAGGACATCCATGGGGGAACAGCTCTCTGCTCAGGTTACTCATAGGGAGAGAAGCATAACGTGACCCTGAGCTGTGCAAAGAGCTGTCCCTTGTCCATGGATTGGCTCATGGAAAGGAGGAAACCTTCACGGCTGGGCCTTCCACCCCATTCCCAACCTCGGGCAACAGGGGATAGAGAGTTACTTTTGGTGAGTGATTATCAGGCAAAGACATTTCCTAGACAACCAGCTATTCAGTCTAGTGAGAGCCTGAACTGTGGCACCTTAAAAGCATCCACTTTATCTCTCCTTCCCTCAGTCAGCTAGCCAGAAATGCTATAAACTAAAGGCATCATTTTAAACTACTATTTTGCAACAGGATTGTTTCATTTTAATTCATAAAACACAGAAGTGACAGGTGAAAGCTCACGAAGATGGAAACTCAGACCTGAGAGGCACAAAGCCAGAAGGCGCCAAGGGCAGAGCCGTAGGATTTTTAAGCAAGGCGTCAGAGGACTCTCACAGAGGGAACGTTCCACCTCAGAGCTCTCCTGTTTCACCCTGTGACTCCCTGAAGAATCAGAGCGCAGGCGAGGCTCAAGCCCAGTGTCAGTACTCACTGATCCCTTGAAAGAGCTCCTCGATGTTAATGGCGTTCTTGGCACTTGTCTCCACCACGATGGCGCCTATGGATTCGGCATAGTCCTTGGCGTCCTTCAGGGGAACCTCCCTGCAGAGGTCAGACGCAGAGAGAAATAAATGCCCGCTTGTGAGATGCATCAAACGCAAGAGACCCAACACACAGCATGTGTGCAAACAGCTCCTTTATTTTCCTATAGATAACAACTGAGCTGCAGGGTGAGTGTCAGAACCCCAGCTCAGGGAGTCGGTGGGCCTGGCCTCTGTGGCCCTGAGGGCAAGCCTTGTGGACACAGGGTAGAGCTCAGGCAGGGCCAGGCCCTGGCCAGGAGGAAAAAAGAGTCCACACAGCAGTCTACACTCCAGCCTCGGAGCCAGGGTGTCTCTAGCTTCGAAACTCACAGCATTCAATCCATTGTGATGGTTTTCAGAGATAGATGTGGAAAGCCGCACCCCTGAGGGTAGAATTAATGCCTGTGTGGAAGGGAGGCCAGGCTCCCTCTGCCTCTCTGCCCATCCCATGGAGAGCAGCGCTGTCCCTCCACCAACTTGGAATCAGAATGGACCACCTGCTGAAGCCGACAGTGAACCTGCAGGCTCCAGAACTGCGGAGGCACCTCTGGTTACATTCAGCAGTCTGTGGTGCTGTTACTGCAGCACAGAGCAGACTAAGACAGCTTGGTTTTAACCTGTTTCCATCCCAGGACTCAGCATCACAATAAAATAACACCATTCATGCGTGAACGTGCACAGGCTTCCTGAGACATTCCGCGCACAGCAGGAGAATAACTGAAAAACCACACCCGTACCGAGCACGTAGACTTTCCCCCTTGACACCGTGTAACAACTATTAACACAGCACTGATGCAGGCATAGTGTTGTAAGCCATCTAGAGAAGATGCTTACAGAAGGTGGGGTGCAAACACCACAGTCTTTCACACAAGGGGCTTGAGCTCACACGGATTTCAGTCTCTGCATAGGGTCCTGAAGCAGAGCCCTACACTGATGGACAGCTACTTACTGTCTTTCACGACCCAGAGAAAATACAGGATACGACCTGGTAACCTGGAAATGGAAATGAGTGTGGCTACGGTGCACACCTGGACCTTCTCCGGTCAAAGGCCAGTCCCACTAAGGGCTGACAACATGAACCGTACTTCTGTGAGCAGTCTACCATGCGTCACTCTGCTGGGTGTGGTGCACACACCTGCAATCCTACCACTTGGAAAGCTGAGGCAGGAGTGTCGTTGCAAGTTTGAGACTACAAAGTGAGTTCAAGGCCACAAGTGAGTTTAAGGCCAGCCTGAATTGCATAGTGAAACCCTGTCTCAAAAGACAAAAAATAAAAATAAATAAATAGAATGTGTTACTCTTTTCATTGTGAAGTTGTGGCAGTAGACCCAAGATAGACAGTTCTCCTCTGGAAGTTTCAGGCAGTGTTTACCAAGCAGCCTGAACAGGGCAGTTCCTCTCCCCCTTACCAGGGAACACACCGGTCCCCACCTTGGGCAGCCTGCAGTCGGCAACACAGACAAGACCCACAGTGACCTGGAGCGTGGCAGGGCACAGGAGAGCAATGCCTTGTGGCCGAGGGAGCGGGAGGTTGTCTTGGAGCGAGGTCACCGTGCCTGGGCTGGGTCATGGCCCAGAGCTCAGGTGAGAGTCCCACAGAGCAGCCTGAGCTGGAGTCAACATGGGAGGAGCGGGCTCTGCACCCAGCACCACCTGGCTGTGACAGTGGTCTGACCTTTGCAGTCTACTGGGCAATGTGCAGGGAACTTGGGGACACTTGGATTTGTGGTTCGAGTCTGCAAAGTGGGCAACATTGGGGTGCTAAGCTCTCAATCCCAGGGGGTCTGCATTCCCCCTGCAGTGGACTGCAGGGCACCCCCCCTGGTGGCGGAGGAACGGAAAGAAGCCTGGGGGGAACAAGGTTTGGGACACAGGCAGCTCCTCCAGCCCAGACCAGGGCCCCCGTCCCTGACTTCACAGGCTTATAGCCTCACTTTTCCCCTCTGACGTTTGGTCTTTTCATTGACAAATGCTGAGTGTCTGTGACATGCTGAGCACTGAAACGGGTAAAGTGAAGCTAAGGAAGCCACGCTAACAAGTTAACCTCATGGTAAAGACAACCCTTAGGCCTCCCGTGCTGCATGAGGACACGCCAGGGGAGTGACCACAGCCGCCTGGAGGTGGAGGTAGCCCTCCGGCTGGCTCTTCACCCTTTTCCTGGAGCTGACTCCCTGCACTTGCACTTTCCTTCCTCCAGTCACAACCTCCTTCCAGGGTCAAGTTGCTATTGTAGCTTGGCATAACTGATGCCATCTTGAACCCTGCATTTAACTAGGGCACTGTATTTGGTTCAGGAAAATGGAGAATTACTCAGGGTATAAGTCCCATGAGAAAAGCAGAATGAGCTGTATCCACAGGAGAAAAATTAACCTGCTCAACAAAAGAAGTGGGATACAAGTGTCAACCAAAAATTAATGTAAGATTCAAGCTAAATTGTTTCCAACAGGATTTTTTTTGTGGTTCTCTATTTTAAAAGCTCTGTAACTTTTCCAGTTCAGGGCCACTTGTTTGGACCCTGAACCAGCAGGGTCTGTATAAGAGTAGTCCTGAGCTCAGTTAATAAATTCCAAATTTATCAGTTTGCTGCTTAGATTCCTATATTGTTGTTCACAAACTCACCTCCGGTGCAAAGACGGTGAGTAACAGAGCAACTGTGGGCGGGAGCTGCTGTTCAACATCTGGAAAAACTATTTTCTGTCAAAACCTTCCCATATGTTTAAGAGATTCTGGCCAAAGGCAACGGAAACCATTCACAGCATCCCATCAGAGCCAAGCGAGGCAGACAGGCTGCAGGTGTGGCAGGGGTGACTTATGCCCTATTATCACTCATACTCAGAAGGACCCACAAAGCCTCAAGTACCCATGGTGGGGTTCTGCATAGGTGACTGGATTGAGGGTGTGTGGCACTGGGTGTAGCCGAGTGTGATGCTGGGAGGTAAATTCTGGTGGGGAGAGGTGGGTAGTCACGGGTGAAGCCTAGAAGGAAATACACATATCCCCCCTTCTGTTCCTTGTTCCTCCACACTGCTTCCTGCTGCTGTCCCCTGGTCTGTTTCTCCTCAGCCACACCAGCCTGACTTGGAGCCAGCCAACCACGGACTGAAACCTCTACAAACCATGAGCCAAAATCACCTTCTCCTTTAACTGGTGGGTGTGGCGGGTACCTGGCCCAGCAGCAAGAAAGTAACTAAGACAGCCCCAAGCAGTCTCCTGCTCCTCTGGGTGTTAATGCTCTGCTAAGGCCATAATTTCTGCAAATTTCAACACATCTGTGTGACGTTCAGATGAGGAAACCATTCTAGCAACATTGGAAGCAGCAAATCTCTGTTTAAAAGGTTCCTTATAGACACTCTGATCAACCTATCCAGGAGATGGAATAAAATCTAAAATGAACTTTTCTTTACAGACGAGGAATAATTAACACCTTCACAGTTGAATGCCTCCTTAGATAACAACACCCAGCCACTGTGATCTAAGCCCTCAGGTCAAAGCATTTGACATGGGCACCCTGGGAAGAATTCCTCTCCCCAAGGGGCCTCTCCTAGGAACTAACATGCATCCCCAGCCGCTGTTCACCTGGTGTTACATTCAAGCCGCAGTGTCAGGTTCTCAGCCACAGACCTCAGCAGGCTGGTTCCCAAGGAAAAGATCAGAACTTGGAATCCAAGAAGGACTGAGCGGAAGACATGGGTTCTGCTGGGGGATGTGGCCTTCCTTAAAACCCTTTCTCTAGAGTCAGAAGTGGTGGAGATTACACACCTGTAATCTTAGCACTTGGGAAGCTGAGGCAGGAGGATCGTTGCAAGACCAGCCTGGGCCACAAAGTGGGCCCAGAAATGTAGGTTTAGCCTCACGAAGCCAGAGAGAAACCCTTGAGAGAATTGCAAACTCCAAGTCCATGGATCCTGTTTGTCCTTTACTTCATAAGAAGTAAAGGACAGCATTGAGGTCAAGGTCACAGGCTCTGGGACAGACTACTGGTGTCTCAAGTTGGCCCTTCCTCAGCTAGGACCTGGGACAAATGCCTTGACTTCCCTGTGCCCAGTTTCCTTAGGAATCACATGTGAGCATGACAGTGGCTCTTACCTGGGATGGTGAAGATTAAGATCAACTACCTATAGCAAAGCTAAGGAACATGCCATTCATGTTGGCAGCGACGCTGCTGACAGATTTGTATGCAGCCTCCTGGGTGTGGTGCATGGCTAAGTCCCCAGTGCAGACAGATTGGCTGACGGCAGCCTGATTCTCCCCTCAGGGAGAGGAAAGGTGACAGGCAGTGCCCACTGGGTTCACAGGTCCTGTCAGACCGTTCCTGCAGAGAGACGCGTGGGAGAGCCAGTCTAGCAGGTTCCCGTGCCTGCCCTAAGGGGCAGTTGTTTTTATGGTTTTCCTCCCCACTTTTCCTTCCTTCCTTCCTTCCTTTCTTCCTTCCTTCCTTCCTTTCTTCCTTCCTTCCTTCCTTCCTTCCTTCCTTCCTTCCTTCCACCTCTCCCTCCCACCCTTTCTTTTCTTTTTCTTTTGTTCTTGCAGAGCTAAAGACCAAGCCCAAGGCCTCATGCATGTTAGGTGAGCACTCAGCCACTGATTGAGCTATAACGCTCTTCCCCTAACCAGGGGTTCTACAGTTAACTCGGTTATCCTGATGCACTGGGGTTAGTTAATCTTGTAGATCACTATCTTCTAAAACTCTACTCAGACATAACCCCCTTTGCAATTTCCACCATATGTAAACTACAGGATACATATGTAGTACAGGATACAGATATATACACACATATCATTTTTTAGTACGTTATCTAAATCAACATTTGCTTACTTTTTATTGACATAATAATAGATTCACATGTAGTTGTAAGAATAATAGCTAGAGATTCCTTCTATATTTTGCTAAGTTTTCCCAAATGGCCACAATTTGCAAAACTAGTATCAAAAACAGGATTTCATGTCCACACATTCTGTCTTATTTGGATTTGCCTAGATTTACTTGAATTTACTAGAGTGTGTATATATACATGCATG